GTGTGTGTGCAGGTCCCCCCCCCACGCTGCTGTGTGTGTGTATGGGTGTGTGTGTGCAGGTCCCCCCCCCACGCTGCTGTGTGTGTGTATGGGTGTGTGTGTGCAGGTCCCCCCCCCACGCTGCTGTGTGTGTGTATGGGTGTGTGTGTGCAGGTCCCCCCCCCACGCTGCTGTGTGTGTGTATGGGTGTGTGTGTGCAGGTCCCCCCCCCACGCTGCTGTGTGTGTGTATGGGTGTGTGTGTGCAGGTCCCCCCCCCACGCTGCTGTGTGTGTGTATGGGTGTGTGTGTGCAGGTCCCCCCCCCACGCTGCTGTGTGTGTGTATGGGTGTGTGTGTGCAGGTCCCCCCCCCACGCTGCTGTGTGTGTGTATGGGTGTGTGTGTGCAGGTCCCCCCCCCACGCTGCTGTGTGTGTGTATGGGTGTGTGTGTGCAGGTCCCCCCCCCACGCTGCTGTGTGTGTGTATGGGTGGTGTGTGTGCAGGTCCCCCCCCACGCTGCTGTGTGTGTGTATGGGGGTGTGTGTGCAGGTCCCCCCCCCACGCTGCTGTGTGTGTGTATGGGGGTGTGTGTGCAGGTCCCCCCCCACGCTGCTGTGTGTGTGTATGGGGGTGTGTGTGCAGGTCTAAGCATCTACCCGTCTCTCTCTCTCATCAGGCTCCCTGCTTGGAGCTGGGCCATGAGCTCTAATGCAATGGACTGATCACTTCTGTGTTGACTGTGGGCAGCTGTCCTGCTGCTTCTCACCTGGGTCGGGGGGAGGTGAAGTCGCTGGGTAAAGAGCTTCTGGGCAGCTGAGACACAGTGGATATGGGTTAGAACATCTGCACTTTCCTGGCCCCTGGCGTCATCGTCAGTGAAGTCATGGATCGCTGGGTGTCGTGGGCCTTCAGAATCGCTAGCAAGTGCTCAGAATGGCGAATGTTGGGCCCAAGAATGTCCGGAGCTGCAGCCTGCTGGTGTTGACAGGTGCACTGACCGGCAGCTCCTTGGAACTGAGTGGACAGGAGACCCAGGAAACGTTTAGTGGGCAGGGGCCAGGTTGGAAACTGGGATGTCCCTGTGGGTGCCTGTGTGAGAGGTCTGGAGTGACACGAAGAGTCTCGTTGTTTGGGGTAAGGGCAGGAAATACTTAGATAAGCTCTCATGTTTACACGGGACGTGGGCCACTCAGCCTGCCTCCCCAGGAGACCCCACAGCTAAACTCTAAGCCACCGCAGGCCACAGGCCAAATCCAGACCATCGCCTGGTTTTACAAATTAAGTTTCATTGTCACACAGCCACACCTGTTCATTTATGTACCATCTATGGCTGCCTTTGTGCTGCAACTGGCAGGTTGTGTGATTGTGAGAGATGGGCGTCCCGCAAAGTGAAAATTGTTCACTTTCTGTTCCTTTATAGAAAAAGTTTGTGACCCCTGCTCTAAACTATGACTTCTGTCATCCTTAAAAACACATCCTCAGGTTGAGGGACCCTGGGAGTGGAGTGCTTTCTGTCGTTTCCTCTTACCTGGGAGTAGTCAGCCCACCCTCCCAGCCCCGCCGCTCCCTCCTGTCGTTCAGATGTGGGACGCATTCACTTGATTGATTCGGAGAGTGTGAGTTCCCAGAGACTTGGTGCCTTTGCTGTTTTAACTCTCACTGCTGTAACAAATGGCCATAAGTGGGGTGGTTTAAACAGCAGAAATTGATTCTCTAGCAGTCTGAGAGACCACAAGTCTGAGATCAAGGTGTTGGCAGGGCCATGTTTCCTCTGGAGGCTCTAGGAGAGGATCTGATCCTTGTCCCTTCTTGTACTGGTGGCTCATGGTATTCCGTGACTTGTGGCTGCATCACTCCAACCTCTGCCTCTGTTTTCGTGTGGCTCTCTCCCCTGCCTGTGTTGTCATCTCTTCTGTCATCTCTTGTAAGGACCCTTGTCCTTGGACTTAGGGTCCACCCACATAATCCAGGATGACCCCTTCTCGAGATCATTACATTTGCAAAGACCCTTTTTCCAAATAAGATCACACCCACAGATCCCAGGGGTTAGGAAGTGGACATATCTTTGGGGAGGGGGCGCCATCTAACCTACTACACCGTTAGAGGGAAAGATAGGCAGGTGGCATAGCGTGATGGAGGTGAGCATGGTGGGGGACTGTGCAGGCAGACTGGCTGTGACTTTGGGCAAGTTCTTTTTTTTTTTTTCCCTAAAAGATGACCGGTAAGGGGATCTCAACCCTTGACTTGGTGTTGTCAGCACCAGGCTCTCGGAAGTGAGCAACCGGCCATCCCTATATGGGATCCGAACCCATGGCCTTGGTGTTATCAGCACCGCACTCTCCCGAGTGAGCCACGGGCTGGCCTTGACTTTGGGCAAGTTCTTTTTTTTTTTTTCCCTAAAAGATGACCGGTAAGGGGATCTCAACCCTTGACTTGGGGTTGTCAGCACCAGGCTCTCGGAAGTGAGCAACCGGCCATCCCTATATGGGATCCGAACCCATGGCCTTGGTGTTATCAGCACCGCACTCTCCCGAGTGAGCCACGGGCTGGCCTTGACTTTGGGCAAGTTCTGTCACTGCTTCCAGCCTCCGTGTTGATGTCAGTTTCCACATCAGTAGAAGGACTCTGTGGGCTGCTGAGAGGGTTAAGTGGTTGGACCTCCTGTAGGGGCCTGGCCTACAGGAGTGCCAGTTCTTGTGAGTTCTCACCTGGCTCTCATGCTCTCCACCCTCCAGGCCACAGTCCTGAGGTGGGAGGCAGAGCCTGATTCCCCCTCTTGCTTTATCTCTGCAGCAGCCCACCCATGTGCCCGGGACAATGGCGGCTGCTCCCACATCTGCATTGCCAAGGGCGACGGGACGCCACGGTGCTCCTGCCCTGTCCACCTTGTGCTCCTGCAGAACCTGCTGACCTGTGGCGGTAGGTGTGACCTCTGTGCTTTCTGTTGGGATGATGGACAGGGACCTGATTCTTTGCCTGCCAGGTCTCAACTTGACATCCTTTTAAAATCACAGTCCCTGTGGCATGCAATCTCCAAAGCAGATCGTCTCTTCCTTTGCTTTCTTTTCTAATATATGCATTTAGTGCTGTGAATTTTCCTCTAAGCACTGATTTTTCTGCATCCCACACATTTTGATAAGTTGTATTTTCATTGTCAGGTAGTTTAAATGTCTTTTGGGCTGGCTAGTTAGCTCAGTAGGTTAGAGCATGGTGGTGATAACACCAAGGTCCAGGGTTCAATCTCCATACTGGCCAGCCACCCCCCAAAAAATGTTTTTTAATTTCTTCTGAGATGACTTCTTTGGCCCATATGTTAATTATAAGTACATTATTTAATCTCCAAATAGTTAGGAATGTTCCAGCTATCTCTCTGTTACTGATTTCTCTTTTAATTCCACTGTGGTCCAAGTGCTTACTTTATATGATTTCTCTTCTTTTAAATTTGTTCAGGTGTGTTTTATGGCCCAGCGTGTGGTCTGTCTTGGTGAATGTTCCATGTACACTGAGGAGAATGTAGACTCTGCTGTTGTTGGTGGAGTGTTCTAGAAACATCCTTGAGATCCAGTAGATATAGTACTGATCAAGTCATCTGTATTCATCCTGACCACCTCCTCAAGCTGTCAGTTATTGATGGGGGTGTTGAAGTCTCCAACTCTAGTAGTGGATTTGTCTGTTTCTCCTGGTAGTTCTTGCTCACTCTTTCAGCCCTGATCCTCTTCTGCCCCTAGGACTGCATGGTGGTGGTGGGGTGGTAGCGAAGAACATGGGCTTTGGAGTCAAATAGACCTGGGTTCAAACCCCAGCTCTACCACTTTCCAGGTGAGCAACCTCAGGCTGGGCAATTGCCTGCTCTGAGCCTCCACTTCATCCTCTGTGAAATTGAGAGGCTTCCCTGGTGGGTTGTTGTGGGCATTAAGTAACAGAGTGCTCTGTATAGTCCCTGACACATGTCATACAGGAATGCCAGCTGCTATGTTATGGGGGTGGAGGTAGTAATAAAAGTAACAATCTGTTGTTACCATGATGAAGCCCAACCCCCAGGGCTTCCTGTCTCCCAGGTGGCTTTGGATCCTGTCGTGTTTGTGCTCTGCTCCCATTTTTCTTCCGTGAGCTCCTGGGGACCCACGCTTCATCCCCATCCCTGCCCCCATCCTACACTTAGCAGATGCACAGTACACGTGGGCTCAGCATGTGGACGCCTGTGCTTATCAGCAGTTCATCTTGCCTCACACCTCCAACCCTAGAAAGTTTGTCAAGAGCAGAGGGGACATTTGTGGGTGTCTCCTGATGGGAGCTACCTTGACCTTTCTGAGCTTCCTGGTGACTTTTCTCTGGATTTTCAGCCCAAGTGTGTCTGTCTGTGCAGCTCCTACAGATGCCTGGGCTGTGATGGCCAGGAGGGGGCCGTGGAGAGCGCTTCACAGACCCCAGCCCTGGGCCTCCGTGCAGGAGGACATGCCCCTCTGTCCACCTCTCCCTGGGCTCTGGGCCTCCAGGCTTGAGGATGCGAGGTCCCTTCCTCACAGTCGTAGAGATGTGTATTTACTGTGTAGATGCTCTCCAGTCTTCTGTGGCCTCTTTCTGGCAGGATCACAGAAGGGTAAAGGCATGCTGAGGTTCTCAGAGTGGACCCTGTGAAATGGCAGGAGCCAGATGCAGCAGCTGCGCTGCTCCAGTATTGTGGCAGCACCACCACTACCATGTTGTCTGAGCCCTTCCCTGAGCCAGACATGCCCTGGTTCTTACCCTGTTGTCTCCACTACCCCTGCAACATAGATGACTGCTTCTGTTTGAGATGAGAATAGAGACTTTGAGAAGTCTAGGGATTCCTCAGTTTTCACGGCTGCTGAGGGAAGCCTGGGTTCCATCCCAGGTCTGTCCAACTCCTGTCTTGTCCCACATTCACCCTTAAGTCAAGATGACCCTCTTCTTCCGGGCTGAGGTCAGTGGGAACAGCAGTGGTGGGCACAGGGCCTCTGGGCTCGAGCTCGGGTGTGGGCTGTGGGCTGTGGGCTATGGGCCGTGACCACATGTATCTTCCTGTGGCCAGGCCAGGCGCATGCTCTTTGTGCTTGGCTCAGCTTGCAGACGTCTTCATTGGCTCTTTTCGCACCCCATGGGTATATCAGTCTGTTTTGTTGCCTATAACAAAGTACTATGGAACTGGGTGATTTATAAAGAAAATGAAATCTATTACTTCCAGTTTCAGAGGCTGGGAAGTCCAAAGTCCGGGGAACACATTTGGTGAAGGCCTTGGTGGTGGTGACAGTGATAGCAGGGTATCACATTGCGAAAATGATGGAGCAGAGAGAAAGACAGACTGTCCTCTCTCTTTTCTTTTAAAGCTCTCAGAACCACACCCCTGACCACCATTTTTAATCCATTCACTACTGCAGGGTCCTATAATCCAATCACCTCTCCAAGGCTCCACCTTTCAGATACCATGATAGGATTTCTCATCCTCTTAACAGTCACAGTGGGGGCTAAGTTTCTAATACATAAAACTTGGGGGACACAGTTCAGGCTTCAGTGAGTTTTGGGGGACATAATTCAATCCAATACATTGGGCATTGAGCTTCTCTTTGTTGGGCTCCTAGGCTTCTCTTTGTTTCCCAGGAGCTCTTGTCTTTGCTCAGGTCCCCCACCCCATGGCACAGTCCCTGTTCACTCAGGGCAATCCAGCAGTTATGGGGGGGAGGCAATGGCTTCCACATGTCTCAAGGCTTACACACGGTATTGCAGCTTCACCTACGTCCTTTCTGCCATGAACAGATTTCAGGCATGCCGAGGGCTGTTGTTCAATGTTAAACTGAGGCTTGGGCCGATTTCCCAGCATTCCCCTCTTCAATGGCAGCTTCATTTAGTTTTCTGTGATTTTCCGCACAAAGGAGGGGAGTCCAGGGAACTAAGGGCAAGCTGAGGGGTTCCTCTGGCTTCTCTGCGAGAGTGCTCTCCCGTCCTTAGCCCCAGGACGCTGCCACTCACTGAGTGCTATGGCCTGCCCACAGTTGACCTGTGCTGAGGACATTGAGCGTTGAGGGGCAAGCGACCATGTAGGAATGACCCTTTGCCCTTCCAGCCCACCACTTTCCTGTGACCCTGCACCAGGGAGCCTTCCCCCCCCCCATCACCCATGCTGCTCTCCCTGTGGGTACCTTGGGTCCTCCTGCCTTTCCACAGTCCACTCAGCAAGGTGCCCAGGACATGGTGCCCGGGGGCCATGTCCCCAACCCCACAATTCTAGCAGCCCCCAGCCCCTAACAGGCACGCATAGTGACCACCTGCTTTTCTCTGACTCCCGGGGTGCAGTGGATGCTAAGGCTTGTTCAGGCTGACACACACAGATGTATGCTGGAACATGCTGGATCAACAGCCCGGCCTGGCCCCCGTGCCCCTCTGGGTGCATGTGGGGAGACCAGGCCCAGAGGAAAGAGGACTGGCCCAGCTTCTCAGCAGTCAGGGCATTTTCTGCTGTGTTTGATATAGTGTCTGCTGCTTGACGCTCAGGTTCCCAGTCAGCCCCTCTCCCTCCACAGTAAACAAAGAAAAGAAAGCGCCTGTCATCTTGGAGCAAACGTTTACTTCCTGCCTTCACTCTACCGGGGGCTGGAGGTGGGACACGAGCAGGAGAGACAGCGGTGGGGACTCGTAGTCCGGGCTAAATCGAGCGCGTCTTCTGCGTTGGGGCCCAGTTTTCTCCAGGCAGGCCGTGTGCGATGATGGTGTTTTCTGTCCCTCCCCCAGAGCCTCCCACCTGCTCCCCCGACCAGTTTGCATGTGCCACGGGGGAGATCGACTGCATCCCAGGGGCCTGGCGCTGTGACGGCTTCCCCGAGTGCGACGACCAGAGCGACGAGGAGGGCTGCCCGGTGTGCTCGGCCGCCCAGTTCCCCTGCGCGCGGGGCCAGTGCGTGGACCTGCGTCTGCGGTGCGACGGCGAGGCTGACTGCCAGGACCGCTCGGACGAGGCGGACTGCGACGGTGAGGCCCCGCCCCCGCCCCCAG